AGGTGTAAAATGGCTGATATGGCCATGTATTGGTCCCATTACTACATGCGTCAGGCTGCAAGTATAGACAAAGACTATTATGGCCATATGTGTTTTACCCTCACCTAATCCAAGTGAATGCATAGAGCTTCCTGTACCTACTTAATGAGTTAGGTTGACTTATCTTTTTTATAGCATGGTTTATGCCCAGAGTGAGGCGTGCAGGTTTGATACTGGGATGCAGACTCAGACTCTTCCAGAGGCTCGCATCAGCATCTTTGTCAATAATTCATAGAACAAAATGGAATGGGGCAGTCTTGTCAGAGCCTGTCCTCACTCAGGCTCTTAATGTGAACCAAGAAGATGCTCATACATACATATCCCAACAAAGACCCTGTCCTGGATGTACCCTCACCCTGATCTCTCCAAGCCATAGATACAACCAAACATGGCCAGTTTTAGACTTTGTGGTTTTGGCTAGGCTAATCCGTTCAATTAGTGCTTGTCAAACAAAGCAAGCTATTTTACACAAATTTCAATTAACAAAATAACTTACATAATAGCGTTATTCAATCAAATATGTTCAAATATGTTGTGTCACAAGGCAATATAATTTTTCAGGACAGTAAAAATTTTGGAATTATAATGAAAACATTGTATTGTGATTTTACCCATTTACAGAGAATATCCAATGCATAATACTTATATATATATATATATATATATATATATATATATTCAAAAAGTGAAATTTCTCATTCAAATAAATATTGTAGGTCTGGTTTCCAACAGTGGAAAACAATAACGGACTAAGCCACATAAATACTATCCTAATTGTTCAGCGTTCCAATGTAATGTAGGATGTAGCGCACGCGATGGCGACCTGAGCAGGTGACAGATATACGTCAACATCAACAAATATAAAGATAATAATGTATCCCCTAAATATAATCACTAAGCTTGTAAATAAAATAACAATTAACAAAATGAATAAATGCTTAGGGACCTATGAATAGCAAGTATTTTATCTATGAACAAAAGGCTTCTACAATTAAACTGACAGCCTCGGGAAAGGTTGCACAAAGATAACTATGATGCATAAAACCATGGCCTAAAATTACAAAACACACTAAATCAACAACAAAAAAATACTAAGACAGCACGGTCTATCAAAAGGAAAGTTACAGCCTACGCAATAGCCAACCATAAATTATGGACTATCCTTATCTAGTAGCCTATCCAAGCAATCTTTTGTTACACAATTCAAGAAGTAGGCTAAAAGTTAAAGTGACAGCTATAACAAAAACACAAATCAGGATTAATAAAATGTACCAAGACCATATTATGCTATTAATTCATTAGGTATTCATTTAACGATGGATTCGAGGGACTTTTTTCACTTTAAATCAGAAAGCGTTACTTCTAAACACAATCGTGTGAAATTACCTCATATTGAAGGTACTGTTTCCTCCATTCCGGAGTAATATGAGACGAAAGGTGCTCTGCGAATTTCATTTTGTCGGAGCAGCTATCTCTTCAACCTCCGTAATTCCTTTTAGGACTGTCCCCTGTTGACGCGAGTTTTGATATTTCTGTCAACTTGCTGGCTCGCATGCGGCAGCCTGCACTAGCGCACTCTGTCTTGTCCCGATTAGCGTACTGCAAAGAAACTCCGTCCCATACTATTTTTATGAGGGACAGCAGAACAGAATGCTCCCGCCCTAACAGGTGCTTTGATTACGATATAACCGTTCCTGTGCAAATTCAATGACTTTCTCCCTTCGATCCCTGGTTAGGTCTGGGGACATAGCAGTCCGCCATCGCATTCAGCCAACAACGTGGTTGCGTCACTCCGCAGTGACAGCCGGCGCCGTGTGTAGCCTATCTGAATATGGTTTTAAGGTCTGTGTTCTGAAGACTGTACTGCGCTTCCTTTCTCTTTATTAGGATATTAAAATATATACAATTATTGATAGATTATTTGAAGAAAAAACTATCCACATGTAGGCTACAGCCTATGTTCTGCATGCATTAGAGGTGTTAGATCATCTGTTGACAGACTTTCTGGGATAATGCTCCCCAACTTTTACATGGCCACATAATCACATTAATTGGCTACTGAAATGTATGTAAGCAATTTCCATAGCCTACCGAATAATGAGAGGAAATAATAATAATAATATATATATATATATATATATATATATATATATATACTACCAGTCAAAAGTTTGGACACACATACTCATTAAAGGGTTTTTCTTTATTTTGACAATTTTTTACATTGTAGAATAATAGTGAAGACATCAAAACCATGAAATAACACATATGGAATCATGTAGTAAACAAAAAAGTGTTAAACAAATCAAAATATATGTTATATTTGAGATTCTTCAAATAGCCACCCTTTGCCTTGATGACAGCTTTGCACACTCTTGGCATTCTCTCAACCAGCTTCACCTGGAATGCTTATCCAACAGTCTTGAAGGAGTTCCCACATATGCTGAGCACTTATTGGCTGATTTTCCTTCACTCTGCGGTCCGACTCATCCCAAACCATCTCAATTGGGTTGAGGTCGGGGGATTGTGGAGGCCAGGTCATCTGATGCAGCACTCCATCACTCTCCTTCTCGGTAAAATAGCCCTTACACAGACTGGAGGTGTGTTGGGTCATTGTCCTGTTGAAAAACAAATGCCCAAACCAGATGGGATGGCGTATTGCTGCAGAATGCTGTGGTAGCCATACTGGTTAAGTGTGCCTTGAATTCTAAATAAATCACAGACAGTGTCACCAGCAAAGCACCCCCACACCATAACACCTCCTCCTCCATGCTTTACGGTGGGAAATACACATGCGGAGATCATCCGTTCACCCACACCGCGTCTCACAAAGCCACGGCAGTTGGAACCAAAAATCCAGACTCCAGACCAAAGGACAGATTTCCACCTGTCTAATTCCAAATGCTTGTGTTTCTTGGCCCAAACAGGTCTCTTCTTCTTATTGGTGTCCTTTAGTCGTGGTTTCTTTGCAGCAATTCGACCATGAAGGCCTGATTCACACAGTCCCCTCTGAACAGTTGATGTTGAGATGTGTCTGTTACTTGAACTCTGTGAGGCATTTATTTGGGCTGCAATTTCTGAGGCTGGTAACTCTAATGAACTTATCCTCTGCAGCAGAGGTAACTCTGGGTCTTCCATTCCTGTGGCAGTCCTCATGAGAGCCAGTTTTATCATAGCGCTTGATGGTTTTTGCCGACTGCACTTGACATTTTCCGGATTGACTGACCTTCATGTCTTAAAGTAATGATGGACTGTCGTTTCTCTTTGCTTATTTGAGCTGTTCTTGCCATAATATGGACTTGGTCTTTTACCAAATAGGGCTATCCCCCTACCTTGTCACAACACAGCTGATTGGCTCAAACGCATTAATAAGGAAAGAAATTCCACAAATTAACTTTTAAGAAGGCACACCTGTTAATTGAAATGTATTCCAGGTGACAACCTCATGAAGCTGGTTGAGAGAATGACACGTGTGTGCAAAGCTGTCATCAAGGCAAATGGTGGCTATTTGAAGAATCTCAAATATAAAATATATTTTTATTAGTTTAACACATTTTTGGTTACTACATGATTCCATATGTGTTATTTCATAGTTTTGATGTCTTCACTATTATTCTACAATGTAGAAAATAGTAAAAATAAAGAAAAACCCTGGAATGAGTAGGTGTGTCCAAACTTTTGACTGGTACTGTATATATAAAGAAGGACAGGGATGAAAGAGCATCTTTAAAAGTTTATATGGATCTGACTGACATTGTTTTCAAGTCTCATTGGTTTCACTGCAATTATCTCTGACTGCTCTATTTATTTATCGTATTTGAACAACTAGCCTGGCCTACTGACCATATAGGATAATAAGGTGAGGACCACCAACCAAGTCAACACAAATTAAGTTACTTTGCCTGGTTTTGTTTCCAGACCATCCATCTTCTCTGATGCCACAATCTAAGGTGCACTAGTTTCTTCGTTTATTATTTTTTTCATTTACAATAGCCTAACTCTCATTGCGCATCTCCACTAAATATGAATCATCAGCCTGTTGGAGTTCCATTCCATCATGCTAATTAAGAAATTCAGACCGGTGTGGGTGCGTGCGGTTTATTGTTGCCACCTACAATAACAGATCAACATATTGTAAATACTACCACCTGCTGGACAACATTTGCTAATAAAGCAGACTACTGTTACATAGGCTGTAATTGCAGTTTTGTTATTTTTTATACAGTCTTTTCTGTTTCATTTAACCAGATATTGATAATAAAGCTGCTTTTGTCAGAGCAACAAGTAGGCTACAATATTTTCTATTGGGTAGGCTGGCGCCGGGCGTGGTCACTTTCTCGACATAGGCTGCTACAGTTTTGGGGCAGAAAAACAAATGATATGTAAAAATATATTACATTGATTTTACAAAAATTGATCGTGTGACTTACTTTTCCAACCAAGGTACTTTTGAAGGACGGAGGGAGGAACTTCTTGATTTAAAAAGCCTATATTGGCATTTCGGTAGAACATATTTAAAAACAGCAGTTAAAGGACTAACAAACGCCAACGCTTTTCGGCTTGATATAGGCCTTTATCAGGGCATTTTGTGATACTTATATAGTATCCACATTTCTTTCCCGACACCAGACACCACGCTTTTTTTTCACAGTACTCTGTACCTGTCATAGACAGCACCTGTATGTACCACTAGAAACATGCATTTCTGTCTGGATTTTATGTGAAAATCTTTGTTCCTAGTCTAAGTTCTACCCGAGGCTTAAAGTGGGTTGTACCACAGACTGACCATTCGTGCAAAGTGAAAGCATGTCCGACTAAATACGGGAAAATAATTATTCGCGATAACGGATTAAATCATTAGAAATCCGATACATATTATATATACGTAGCCTGTATAAAATACTGAGAGCGACAATATAAGGTTGTCACTGATTTTTTTTTAACCGTCTTTATTTTCGACAATGGCATCACGCTCTCCATCGTCTTCCCCTGATTCTGCCACAGGCTCAGGTACCGACCCAGCTCGGCCTGATACAGGAGATCCTCTCGGCGGAGGATCGGACTCCGACTCAGATCTAGGACTAGGGAAATTCGACTGCGGTGCAGGTGACCCTGGTCATCGACTGGAAGGGGAGGAATTGGAACACGAATTTGAGGCAGCAGCAGACCGTCTTCGAGATCTACTTCAGACGGCCAGTAGGGAACAACTGTTGTACCTGTATGCTAGGTATAAACAGGTGACTATCAGATAGCAGCACATCCCAATGGTCCCATTAGTTATTTAGATACTTTTGGTGATATAGTGTATGTCGACACCCCTTCAAATTAGTGGATTCGGCTATTTCAGCCACACACGTTGCTGACAGTTGTATAAAATCGATCACACAGCCATGCGATCTCCATAGACAAACATTTGCAGTAGAATGGCCTTACTGAAGAACTCAGTGACTTTCAATGTGGCACCGTCATAGGATGCCACCTTTCCAACAATTCAGTTTGTCAAATTTCTGCCCTGCTAGAGCTGCCCTGGTCAACTGTAAGTGTTGTTATTGTGAAGTGGAAACGTCTAGGAGCAACAACGTCTCAGCCGCAAAGTGGTAGGCCACACAAGCTCACAGAACTGGAGCCCGGAGGGCTGAAGCGCTTAAAAAATGTCTGTCCTCAGTTGCAACACTCACTACCGAGTTCCAAACTTCCTCTGGAAGCAACGTCAGCACAATAACTGTTTGTCGAGAGCTTCATGAAATACGTTTCCATGGCCGAGCAGCCGCACACAAGCCTAAGATCACTATGCGCAATGCCAAGCGTCAGCTGGAGTGGTGTAAAGCTCGCCGCCATTGGACTCTGTGGAAACGCGTTCTCTGGAGTGATGAATCACGCTTCACCATCTGGCAGTCCGACGGACAAATCTGAGTTTGGCGGATACCAGGAGAACGCTACCTGCCTCAATGCATAGTGCTAACTGTAAAGTTTGGTGGAGGAGGAATAATGGTCTGGGGCTGTTTCTCATAGTTCGGGCTTGGCCCCTTAGTTCCAGTGAAGGGAAATCTTAACGCTACAGCATACAATTACATTCTAGATGATTCTGTGCTTCCAACTTTGTGGCAACAGTTTGGGGAAGGCCCTTTCCTGTTTCAGCATGACAATGCCCCCGTGCACAAAGCGAGGTCAATTCAGAAATGGTATGTCGAGATCAGTGTGGAAGAACTTGACTGGCCTGCACAGAGCCCTAACCTCAACCCTATGGAACACCTTTGGGATGAATTGGAACACCGACTGCGAGCCAGGCCTAATCGCCCAACATCAGTGCCCAACCTCACAAATGTTATTGTGGCTGAATGGAAGTCCCCGCAGCAATGTTCCAACATCTAGTGGAAAGCCTTCCCATAAGAGTGGAGGCTGTTATAGCAGCAAAGGGGGGACCAACTCCATATTTAATGCCTATGATTTTGGAATGAGATGTTTGAAGAGCAGGTGTCCACATACTTTTGGTAATGTAGTGTAGCTAGCAAGTGACATGGCATAAATATTCAGGCTACATTCATGTCTGTTATGTTCTCCAAACATTGTTCATCATGCCTTTGTATCCCTAATAATATCATTGTTACACTATTTTGTTGACTTGTGACGGGGTGGGAGGTTCACCACAGGTAAGTACACAAATTCCAAACAGGTGTATGATCAATGTCCATCTATTGCTTGCCATTGAATTGATAGTGATGATTCTGCTGAGAGCTGTCAAACAGATGGTTAGGCTGTGCTATTCAATATATTCCTAAGTCACCTGTATTTCATATGTTTACAGGTCAAGGTTGGAAAGTGCAATACAGCAAAGCCTGGGTTTTTCGATTTTGAAGGTCAAAGAAAATGGTATGTTTATCATTTCTTAATCATTGTGCTGATATAATGTGTTTATTTAATTCCTGGCATGAATTTGCATGGGGGAATCAGACTATGCCCTGGAGGCCTCCCTGGAGTAAGTTATGAGTGGTCCTGTTTTGAGATTTCAATTTACATTCAATTTTTTCTTGTTCCAAATTGAAACTCACCTACTGTATGGTCCTGTCCTGTTCTCTTTAATAGTTTTTGGAGGGAGAGAAATTATCTGCTGAATGTTGTTATTATGTTTTGCTACAGGACAGCATGGAAGCAGCTTGAGGACATGAGCGCAGAACAGGCCATGCAGGAGTATGTTTCGTGCGTAACTTCACTAGACCCAGACAGCAGTCAGAAGGTAAAAAGCCCTCACAAATCCAATACTACACTACATTTGATCTCACAAATTTACATAATACAATTTCCACATGCAGGAAACACTGCAATGTGAGAACTGAAACAAATGTTTATTTATAGAGTGCAAACCATAATATGTGCCACTTCTGAAGAATCCTGTCTCCTGAGCATAGCCTAAAATGTTTCTTCAGTAGCGAGGCACATTTTTATTTTTTAAAATAAAGATGATGATCCCGTGTGGCTCAGTTGGTAGAGCATGGGGCTTGCAACGCCAGGGTTGTGGGTTCGATTCCCACGTGGGAACAGTATGAAAAATGTATGCACTCACTACTGTAAGTCGCTCTGGATAAGAGTATCTGCTAAATGACTAAAACAGGGGTGTCAAACGTCCGGCCCGCGGGCCAGATCAGGCCCGCAAACGGGTTTAATCTGGCCCGCAAGATGATAAAAATAAAAAATAAAAATAAAAACATTTTTAAGTATAAAAATGCGCTGCAATTTTTCAATAAAATAAACTGCTGTTCCAATTGCGTCCCCTGGATGGCGCAATAGCAATTATGTTAAGCAAGCAAACTGTTTATACCGGGGCAGAGCAAGTAGGTCAAGCACGTGCAGCCAATGAGCTACTTTGTTTTGCCCGCGATATTTATTACGGCTTCTACTTTTAACATTATGTGCTTTGGCACCCTCATTGCCCCAATATGTCTCTGTCAAAAAAGAGAAAAGTGGACGCAGAGTGCAGAGTGTTCCAAGAAAAATTGTCATCCTATTTATTCATGGTATTGAATGGGAAAGCTGTATGTTTGGTGTGTTCAGAGCATGTTGCAGTGCTGAAAGAATATAACCTTCGTCGCCACTATGTGAGTCTTCATGCCGACAAATATGACAACTTTCAAGGACAGCGGAGATGAGAGAAGGTGAATGAACTGTTGGCGGGTCTGAAGAAACAGCGGTCTTTGTTTACTCACAGCCGAGACATCAGTGACGCTGCAGTGAAAGCTAGCTATCTCATTGCTAATGAAATCGCAGTGGCTTCAAAACCATTTAGTGAGGGTGAATTTGTAAAAACATGCATGATGAAGGCAGCGGAGATTGTGTGCCCTGAAAAGCGGCAGGCTTTTGCAAATATCAGCCTGACAAGAAACACAGTTGCAGACAGGATTTCCGATCTTTCAGTGGATTTGGACAGCCAGTTGAAGCAAAAAGTAAAGTCATTTATTGCGTTTTCGGTTGCAATTGATGAAAGCACGGACATTACAGATGTTGCACAACTGGCCATTTTCATCCGCGGAGTTGATGACACATTGACCGTCACCAAGGAGTTCGTGGAGTTGGTGCCGATGTCAGATACAACGACAGCAGTTGATATTTTTACCGCACTCGTCGGCGCGCTGGACAGGGTCGGAGTGGACTGGTCCTGCGCTGTCAGCCTGGCTACAGATGTTACAGAGCACCTGAATAACTTGAACAAACAGCTGCAAGGGCGCAACAAAGTTGTCACGCAGTATTATGACAGCATACGTTCTTTCAAGTTGAAGCTGTCATTGTGGGAGACGCAACTTGCCGGTGGAGATGCAGCTCACTTCCCCTGTCTGAAAAATGTGTGCGCGACCCAACATGTGGCAGACATGAAGCGGTTCAAAGATAAAATAACGGGACTGTTACGGGAGTTTGAGCAACGCTTTCAGATTTATGTTTATATGTTTTTATGTTGATGTGCTATTGTTTTTAATTGATTTTATTTTATTTGTATATTTAACCTATTCTTGACTCTGGTTCTTGCACTTGTTTGGGGAACAGGATTTCATTATTTTTATCTACATTTCTGCCTGAGAAATGACACCCTGATATAGTTCTGTGATCTGTGAAACAGTTCTGTTAATCACTGAGGCATTGTGTGTTTGTGTGTTCTTTTTCTTTAGAATTTTCAAATAAACTTGACGTGTTTTATGATTAATAGTGATGTTGTGCTTGTACTATTTTGGACACACTGTCTTCAGGCTCCAGCTTTATGTTGTATGTTGATCGTATTAAAACAAAGAAAACAATCTGAAGTTGTTGTTTTTAAGTTATATATACCATGATTTTTCCGGTCCGGCCCACTTGGGAATAGATTTTCCTCCGTGTGGCCCCTGAGCTAAAATGAGTTTGACACCCCTGGACTAAAATGTAAAACATTTCAAGATAATGAACTTTGACAGCTCCACCTGCACCTTAGAATGCAGTATGGTACATTGACCAGCAGGGGGCACTGACTGACTATGCAACTTGGCAGACATACTGACTGACTATGCAACTTGGCAAACATACCAAGCATTTGTCCAACATTACCTGAGACTGTTTTAGCTTTGCATGTCGTCATCTTCTTTAATGTTTACAGATTACAATGAAACCAACTCCAGGAAATGATTTTGTGATTCTCTCTGTTTTCATGTTCTATGTAGGACTTTTTTTCTTGTGAGTTTGACATTATTTGTGAGAGGGTTTTTGATCTAGCCTAAATAAAATAAGTGTTTACTGTGCTCATAAATTGTGTATCTGGTGTGGTGTACCTGCCTGCCTGCATCAGAGGGCTAGTGTTGTAATGCAGACATGGGCCTGCTATCTCAGGGAGTAGGGCAATGGAATCATTCACTCACTAAATTCTACCCCATTACAATAACAGGCCTGCCAACTGGGACCAAGCACACTGTCACAGCTGACAATGACACCCTGCCTGGAGTGAGACAATGTGGATGTGGATGGGGAGGGGGGCTGCAAAGAGGCTGAATGAAACACAACATTTTGGGATACAGTACTATCAATAGGCCAGTCCCTCATTATGTCATTTCCAGCATGGGTATTGTATGGTTTGATAAAACGGATGGAGAGAAAAAATAATATTTTTGTTCTATTCTGACCTCTATGCAACATGGCTGAGGAAAGTAGCAACATGAGACAAACCCATATGCACTTTTCTTCCCGAAGGAAAATTCAGCACAAAGAAATGTCCCCTTCTCTAACCTCCGTCCCCAAAGGAGAGATTTAGAGTGATGTTTAGCGGTGTGACATAAAAGCCTGTCAAAGGTCCTGTTTGAGTTAGTGTCTTCCACCCGCCTCTCTCTCCTTCCCCATTCGTCCCCTCCACAATGTGAGTGTCAGCAGGCATCAGTGGCCTGCAGACCAGCCTGACACATCCCTTTCTCTGGCGCTGCCATCGGGGCCAATACGTGCTGACATGGCCCCTAGTGTGGCACAATGCCAGGGGAAGGCAAATGCACAAATGCCCCTCTGAAAAGGATGTGATTGTATTAGTGTTAACAAAGCACAGGGACTCTATTCTTACCAAGTTCCAGACAAACAGATTCAGGAGAGGCTGGATGAGGATGAAGGCAGCAGAGACAATAGTCAGTTCTTGACCTCTCTCCTATTTGTATTGTTGGCTGCACTATCTTTAAATTATAAAAGGAAGTGCATCAGCGAATATTCTGAGTTTAGAAGGGAATTGCACTCCTAAAAGTGCATGTACCGTTATTTTTCTTTTTTGCCCACGATCCCCTCGGAAATTAAATCTAATTAGTTTGTTGTCTTCTGTGAGTCATTATGGAAGAGATAATAGAACATAGGTTAGACCTAGGACCTACAAAACGGTTGTATCCATGCAGACTATGATAGTTTGCCATTACAGCATGTATTAGTGGGTCAGAAAATGCTAAACAAATATAATAGCTGAAATAATTTGGAGCAGTTCAAATATTCTACTCAAAACAGACTTTATACATGTTTTGCAGTCACCTCCAAACATTGTGTAAGCGCATCGTGACTAGGTAAACCTATTGCTGTCTGTGAATAGGGAAACTCATTCTCCCAGTGGCTCTTTTGTTTTACATTGTACGGCACAGTGTGCTTGTTTTAGGTGGGGAGAACAGTGTTCGCTGGATAACTAGCTAGGAGAATACTGAACTGTCCTTAGAGCACAATAGTGTGGCACACACCACTACAGACTCACTGTTATTACAAAAGGTGAGGGGAGCATTATGGTACCAGAATCATGCTTTTGAATGAATGTCAGGGTTTAATGTTTTGCTTCTTGTTCCAGGAGAGAAGAGAGCGTAGGACAGGATTTGGAGGCCCAACAGTCAGTTCCCTCTACCAAGAAGAAATGATCAGGTACGTCACACTGTCTGTATGTCTGTCCTGTATCAGAGACAAACTTCCTCTGCACTGAGCTCTGAGTGTCAGAAGTTCTTCTGCAGACTGTAAAACAGGGTTTCCCGAACTCGGTCCTCGGGACCCCAAGGGGTGCACATTTTGGTTTTTGCCCGAGCACTACACAGCTGATTCAAATAACCAACTAATCATCAAGCTTTGATCATTTGAATCAGCTGTGTAGTGTTAGGGCAAAAACCAAATCATGCACCTCTTAAGGTCCCGAGGACCGAGTTTGGGAAACGCTGCTGTAAACTGTTGTGGGAACATGAGACAGTCCTGATTTATGTTAATTATATTCACTCTCCTAACGGGAACCCTCAGAAGCTTGATCAAGCAAAAACACCACCCTCGTTTCTGGGAAAAAAGGCTCTTTTGGAAATTAAATGACTGCTATATCCAGCAGGTTTTCCCCTAAATTATCCTCATTAGTATGCATGCGCTGAGGAGAGGTGGCCTGAAAATGCCTGCCTTTTAATTACTTTTTCAATAACGTGTTGAAATGAGAGAGCGTTGGGTATAGAACACTGCCACGTGGCACGGGCTCCCCTGGCGATGCCCCTCTTGGTGATAGCCAATGGGGATGCCCCGTGGGGCAGGAAGTCATTAACGTTCCCCCTCGGCGAGGTCTTCCTCGGGCATGTCCCTCTCCAAACTGTTACACTCACTGGTTCGCTGAATATCCAATTTTCCCCTCTCAGTACAGGAAGACCCACCCGCTCCATATTAAATAGTCTGCCTCCTCAAGCAGGGGCTTGTTGCTGAGTTAATTGCATCCTCTTTGCTCATTTTCTGCTCTGGGTCGGGTAGCTATGTGTGGAATGTGTATTGACAAAAGCAGGATTGAATGCCGATATCCCTCAGATGGTGAAGTCTGCTGTTTGTGATGGAATAGATTTGTGTGAGCTACACTTGTAATCCTCTCACAGATTGTAAAAAGGCTCTGATCAACGTCAGACTTATGGTTCGCTGACATCCTAGACCACTTGGCTGGAAAGTCACAGCAAGTGTGAGTTCTCTCATTGTCACTCATAGCTCTTTGTTGTAGTATGTGTGTGTGGTTGACCCTCCCTATAAGAATGTGTGATTGATGGTGGAGCTGTTGAAGTCATCAGTAGCGGCCTGGCTGTGTTGGGAGATGTGTTCTCCTGTGTGTGCCTGGTGAAGGGCTGGCATGAAGGCTGATGGATGAGGGGGATATCTGTCAGTATGTTGGGATAGGCTGCAGAGCAGGACTGTGTGTTTTATGAGGCTGGTGTGTGTGTGTCAGTGAGCTGGGCTAGGTATGAGGGTGATGTGGGATTTACTCTTGCAGGGTGGTGTTCTGGATGATGGGATGGTGTTCATGGGTCATGACACCAAATCCACATTTACAGTAACTGATTAGTTGCATAGTAGTTACCATATGCACGTGATATTGCAGTTGCGCATACACTGTTATACACTTAGGCCACTCACACACACATCAGGGTCTCTCTCTCGCTCTCTCTCCTCCCCCCTTCCCCTGGCTGGTAGTCAGATGTGGTTAACCAGGCAGTGGGGATGACAGAGTAGCCTGTGACCTTCCCAGCATGACGTGCGGCGGGTCGTTTATCAGGGCACCATTAATCGTGTGCGTGCTGTCAGGCGGCCGGCCGCCGTTGGCCAAACCCTCGCCGGCCAGCGCAGCCTGACTGATGAGCTCCGCCATTGATTAGTTGCCGTGGGAGACGGATGGTGCCCACGTGGCAGGGTCACCAGAGAAGGGGGAGGGGCTGGCCCCCCACTTATGAATAAACATGATTCTCATGAGCATGTAAATGAATGTGCCCTCACATGTAACCTTATTCTGTTCAACTGGAATGAGCTGTTTATAAATCAACTTGTGATTGAGGCACAAGGCAAGCATCAGGAACAAAGGGAGAGAGGGTTCCACAGTGCTCTGTTTAACACTGTTGCTATTTTAGGCTCCATTTTGAGTTTCTGACACCCTCAGTTAGGATCTACGTATCCTCTATTTCTTTGATAATCCTATCTCTTATTCTGATACTGCAAAACACTAAGCAGAACCACTGCTGTACTATATCCTAATAATTTCTCAATTCCCCTCCAGTTAGGTAGCTCTTAGCCCCGCTAACCCCTGTTAACGAATAGTGTTAATGCTATCCTCCCCACTTCGGGGGTGTGGGGCCCTGCCAGCCTGTCCTGTCCTCCACTGGGGCTGGGACTGGGTTGCTCTCTGTCAGACAATGGAGCACTAAATGCAATTAATCAGGATCCCTGGGTAAGAGGGGAAGGCGTAAATCTCTAAATGAGATATAGCCCCTTCCCTTCCCCTCTGTCCCCGTGCATCCCCCACCCCAACAGTCCTGCCTGGCGTGGCCCTAATGCCAGGAGGTGATTAAGGGGGGGAATAATTAGAGCTAGTGTGGCGTACCGTGCTGCTTCCCCAGGGATGACTCACCAGGGAGGAGTAGGAGGAAATGTTATGTTTATCCCACCCATTCTGTCATAGCGTGTGTGGTGGTGGGGGGGGGGGGGGGGGGATCTTTCCGGTGGTGTTAACCTCATCCACACACCTATACAATACAAGATATTGGGATGTGTATTCATATCAAAATTTGTTAATGACAGATAAATAAATGTTCATTTCACTATGATTATTAATTTGTATTCAGATCTAGATTTTTATGAGGCGTGTGTGGTGGTGTTGATTGTTTTTGCTGAGATGGAGAATTCCCTGAAGAACAGATGTCTCTTCTCATCTGATGCCAGACGGTTCCGTCACTTCCATGCACTGGTACATTGACTGATGCTTTCTCTCTTCCTCTGCCCTCACAGGGAAGAAGACAAGAACATATTTGACTACTGCAGAGAGAACAACATAGAACACATTACCACGGCTATCAGTTCCAAGGAAGTGGATGTCAACGCAAAAGATGAAGAGGTAAGTGTCACCCATTCTTCAAAGACCCCGCTTGTTAAACAATACATTCATTCCAGCTGTAAAACCAGCTAATTTGCAATATGGTACAATATTCCTCCCGTAGCTCCATTGTCTTTGGCCTCAAATTGACTATTAGTCCATGGGAACTCTTCACATTAATATATCTCAGATCTATGGGAGAAGCTTAAGGCATTAAGATCATTAGATGTTTTTCACTTTGACCTCAAATCTATTCATCTGCTCTTTATTCATTTATCACAGAGGGTAAATGGCTTAGTCCCTCTCATCACAGCAATTCTTCAAATAAGGAACCAGTTGGTGTATGAGTAGCCAGGCCAGATTGTGGAGGTCTGTGTGTGGCTACTCCAGCGTTGGTTACCAGTGGACTGCATGTCTCCGGACTGACCAGCCGAGGGCAGTAGTGAAGTTCAATCCACAGCCCCTGATGCAGTCTATCCTTAGACTTTGCATCATTGTATCTGTCCCATTATGGAGTCTGTGAGAGCACGGGCAGCGCCATTGAGGCCATCTCCATTTTGAAGTAGTATATTTTCTTCTTCTACTGCTTCTATGAGTTGATAAACAAACTGAAAGGGTGCACACTGCCACCTGGAGTGTGTTGTTTGCACAGGTATAAAGCCAAGGTTGGCTATTTACTGTCACCTGCAGTTATGGAATGTTTCCTCACGAGTATAATTCATTGGCTGATCCCTCCTGATGACCCTGATGGCATCATGTGATCCTTCCTTAACCCATTGGAAGTCCCACCCAGTTGACTACTTCAAAATAGCTGCCCATGCTAAAATGGGCTTTTAGGCACTAGAGTCCTCTATCTATCTCTATGGGTCCATCTCAGATAGGCCCCCAGCTGAGAGCGAGATGGGAAGGGAAGGTCTCTGGCATCCATTCATAGAGAGACAGAGCCTGTGTTCGCCACTTGCAGTAGTGAATATCCCACTAATTGGAATGTGCCTACAATTGAATGTCCCACTAGTAATCTAGAGACTGTATAAATGACTCTTGTTTCCACTGATAACCAAAGCCTCCAGTATTAGTGACTCAGTAGACTGTTCTTCAGCAGAATGTACTGTTGTTTGATGTTTTCAGCAGTTGAGGATATTGGCACTTTAATTGGGGGTGATATGAGCTGGGTGGTGGCCTCTGACCCCTGGGGTGGTTGGTCCCCTGACTCCCCTTCAGAGGCCAAAGGCATTAGCTGTAATGTACAGTGCAGGCGTGGGGCGAATGGGGAAATAATCCTAATGATGGGGAGAATAGATCAGGGTGTCCAGCCGCCCGCCTCAGTCTTTATGACTCACTGAGGCTGCCTCATTACTGTTGGGGGGACGAGAGTCTGGGGGCCACACTACAGGTATACATCATCCACACACATACACACACCAGCCATGAGCATGGGATCAATCACACATGCTGTGAGTCATGGCCCACACAGAAGTGTGACAAACGTCTGTTTATGGGTGTGTGTGTGTTCACTGCACAGACACAAGAACCGACTGGTGTTTTACAGTACCCTAGCTGCTTCACACTATTCTTAGTCAGTTGGGAGGTCTGTTTGGAGAGGTCTGTTATGCTGCACACTGTGCTGAGACACTATACCATATCTCTATTAAACTACCCAGAGCTGAAGACAAAGGACTGATTCTAGACAATACTGTGACTAATTTACTGGAGAATACAGTCTAGTCAGAGTTCACTAATCGAATCCCCCTCAGCCCTCATGAAGTTGTCTCCCTCACTCTGAATAATCATGAGATATTTTGTGTTTTTGCCTATTCCTGTTTTGTAGTTGTATAGTGTACAAGTGGCTGTCCCAGTAGACGGGTGAAGTGTTCACACAGGTCCCAACATGGCACTGAGAGAGACCACACAACCACCACTAACCACCATGTACCCCAACAATGGAGGGATGGGTTTCATGTTGTAATACCGCCCAAGGAACTCCTCTTTTCCCTTTGTTTCTCTCTCTTTCTGGGACAAAGTCCCACCCCATTCAATTAGAGCCAATTGAGTTGACAGGTCCCCTCCCACAGAGACTGAGGAGCAGGCAGCGGCTGAGGAGAGTGCCCTTTCAGCCCCTTTTAGACGCGTCTGTTGTGTGTTACCGTGGGTGCGAGTCAAAGCGCCTGTCATTGGCTAATCCCCTACAACACTCTGACAGGGAGGTAGCTTAACCTTCTATTACAAAAAGTGGCGCCAGCGCTTCTTCCTGATGGATGATTTCCAGTAGCGTTTCCTTCTTTTGTTGTTATCTCAGACAAACAAGAGTGCTACAGTGAAGTTTTTATGTTCCTTCTTACGATAAATGGTTATTTCAAAGTAATTTTTTTTCTCATGAAAATGCTCTTTAATCCAACCAGACATCCCAATGGTGTACTTATGAGTGTACTGTGCTGTCTTACTCTGCGAAGACCAATCCTGTAGAGAGGTTATGGTGAACTTCACTCTTTCCCAAAACATACAGTACCAGTCAAAAGTTTGGACACACCTACTCATTCCATTTCTTAATTTTTACAATTTTCTACATTGTAGAATAATAGTGAAGACATCAAAACTATTAAATAACACATTTGGAATAATCTATTAACCAAAAAGGGTTAAACAAATCAAAATATGTTATATTTGAGGTTCTTCAAAGTAGCCACCCTTTGCCTTGATGACAGCTTTACACACTCTTGGCATTCTCTCAACCAGCTTCATTAGGTAGTCACCTGGAATGCATTTCAATTAACAGGTGTGCCTTGTTAAAAGTTAATTTGTGGAATTTCTTTCCTCCTTAATGCGTTTGAGCCAATCAGTTGTGTTGTGACAAGGTAGGGGTGGTAAATAGAAGATAGCTCTTTTTGGTAAAAGACCAAGTCCATATTATGGCAAGAACAGCTCAAATAAGGAATGAGAAACGACAGTCCATCATTACTTTAAGACATGAAGGTCAGTCAATACGGAACATTTCAAGAACTTTAAAAGTTTCTTAAAGTGCAGTCGCAAAAACCATCACGCGCTGTGATGAAACTGGCTCTCATGAGTTCTGCCACAGGAAAGGAAGACCCAGATTTACCTCTGCTGCAGAGGATAAGTTCATTAGTTACCAGCCTCAGAAATTGCAGCCCAAATAAATGCTTCACAGAGTTCAAGTAACAGACACATCTCAACATCAACTGTTCAGAGGAGACTACGTAAATTAGGCCTTCATGGTGGAATTGCTGCAAAGAAACCACTAATAAAGGACACCAATAAGAAGAAGAGATTTGCTTGGGCCAAGAAACACGAGCAATGGACGTTCGACTGGTGGAAATCTGTCCTTTTGTCTGATGTGTCCAAATTTGAGAGACGCGGTGTAGGTGAACAGATGATCTCCACGTGTGTGTGGTTCCCACCGTGAAGCATGGAGGAGGAGGTGTGATGGTGTGGGGGTGCTTTGCTGGTGTTACTGTCTGTGATTTATTTAGAATTCAAGGCACACTTAACCAGCATGGCTACCACAGCATTCTGCAGCGATACACCATCCTATCTGGTTTGGGCTTAGTGGGACTATCATTTGTTTTTCAACAGGACAATGACCCAACACACTTCCAGGCTGTGTAAGGGCTATTTGACCAAGAAGGAGAGTGATGCAGTGCTGCATCAGATGACCTGGCCTCCACAATCACCCGACCCCAACCCAATTGAGATGGTTTGGGATGAGTTGGACTGCAGAGTGAAGGAAAAGCAGCCAACAAGTGCTCAGCATATGTGGGAACTCCTTCAAGACTGTTGGATAAGCATTCCAGGTGAAACTGGTTGATAGAATGCCAAGAGTGTGCAAAGGTGTCATCAAGGCAAAGGGTGGCTACTTTGAAGAATCTAAAATCAAAAATATATTTTGATTTGTTTAACACTTTTTAGATAATACATGATTCCATATGTGTTATTTCATTAGTTTTGATGTCTTCACTATTATTCTACAATGTAGAAAATAGTAAAAATAAAGAAAAACCCTTGAATGAGTAGGTGTGTCCAAACTTTTGACTGGTACTGTAGGTCTCTTGAGGGTATATACAGAACGTTCCAAAGTGGAATTATTGTATTAGAAGAAAAGGAAAGATGAAAATGTGACAAACAATCAAAGGGGCACGTCAAAAACAGAGAGAAAGCACAGTGGTATTTAGGCTCCGGCCTCTCTCATAAATATAAATGTTAACATACAGCCGTTGTGATCAATATAATTTGAGCAATAGAATAGGACTTAGGGAGTTTGCTTGAAAAATGAGCTCCCTGTGGCGGTTGTATTAGAATGAGGGGTTTGGAGCTAAGGAGAGGAGGGGAGACAGGCTGTGAGGGCTGATCAAGGTTTTTTCCACAGCATCTCATCAATCACCTCTAAGGACTCTGCCGGCCCTCCGCAATTTGTCCCTGAGCTCCTGGACAAGCCCTGACCCCCCTCCACCTCCCCTACCCCTTACACACACACAGACCCCTCCTGCTGGCAAGGAGGCAGAGCAGAGCTCATCCTGTCACCACCTCATTTTATAGTTGGGATCTGAAGGCTCTGAGTTATAAATTGTGCTGCATAATTAATTTTTTCTTAAGGGGAGAAATCTATTGTGAGGTTAACTTTGTGTAGCCGGTGCATAACAGAATGGAATAGATGGTTCTATTAGAGGTGAGGAAGGGTTGCGCCCTCCTTCCATGTTACTGAACGCTCCAGCAGGTCCCCACACTGCATTTACATTTCTGTGTGTGGTCAGATGGCCCACACACACTGTCACTATCCATAACAGCTGTTGTCCACTCACTAGACTAGGCAACCTTACTAAAGTACCTGATTTTTTTTTAGCTGCGTAAGAAGTATTGTAGTACATGAGATCTGATTTACAATGGATAGTGTTCAGGTGTGGAAACAAGCACTGACATTTACTTTGAGGGTTTTACCTAAGAGAAAAAAGATTCACATATTTGATTCGGTATCTTGACTCCAACTCATTAGCTGCTACTGCAATGATGGTAAACAATACCTGTTGCACCTTGAAGTATCTGATTATGTACAGTAGAATCTGTTTGTGCAGGAATAAAGAGGCACACCTTTATGTGTTTCAGGGCAGAAATTTGCTCCACTGGGCCTGTGACAGAGGACACAAATACCTGGTGTCTGTGTTACTGCAAAACAGCGCTGACATCAACAGCCAGGTGAGTCACACACATACACACCAGGGCTTGACATTACCTTTCTTAGCCACTTTCCCTTCGGACAAGTAGGACTGATTTTTTTTCTTATCCAAAAGCTCAAGTCAGTTGTCCCCCCCCCCCACACACACACAAAAATGTCTCTAACACCATTTTTACATAATTGTATGATGCAAGGAACCACTTTACAAAATAAAATGCATTACTATCTTCTTTACCATAGAGAATCAGCAGAAATGTAGGCTACACTCTGCGTATTGGCTTCTTTGCATATTCAAACCTGTCTCAAAATACAACACTGCCCCTTTAAGGCTGTCCTGGAGGATGGTTGACCACCCTTGGTGCAACATTACAATTACAACCAAATAATTACATGCCCGAGCGGTTTTATGTGACAAAGATGAAAATATCTGGTCAAAATTTAGAAAGAGGGGAGATCTAAATATGCATAAATTAGCATGGGTTAATAATGACTAGGATTATGCCTTTGGCTGCTGGACAATAAAATAAAGTTGATTTGAAAACCAATAGAACATGAGAAAAATGCTGGTTTCAATGGCATTAAGTGTTTATAAAATAATTCCCTCAACATTTCTGTGGTTGTATTTTGGCAAGGCTACTTTGAAACAAGGTAAGACATGCTTCATAAAATGACATAAAATGTCCAGGTTTTAAACAATTAAGTTTATGGTTAAATAGTTGCTGACCACCTCTGCTCAGATTCAAGGTGGGTGATATGCAAGGCACTGTCCTTCACTCTCTGGTCTTGTGACCATTTGATCTGAACGTGCCTCTCGAGTATGTTGACAGAATCAAGCCTTTAGACGTTAATGTTAATTATCTTTCATTATATTTGTCAAACATGACTGCCTTTTAGCCTATATTTATGTAGCTAATAAAAAGTTTCAAAAAGTTTGGCTACATTTTCTGGCACCTCCCTCATGTCAGCATCGGTTTGGAGATGAGGCTGAAGCCAATATGCATATACATATCACTTACACTTTGACATTTTTTATTGATGTAAATGAAAAATAGATTTGAATATATTTCCAATGTTGGCCTCTCTGATCCAATTCTGATCAGAGTATTTGTATGATATTGTGAATAGTGTTGTTGTTTTTTGTTGTATTATTATTTTTATTTTTTTACTTTTCCATTCAGACAACTTAAATCTATATTCTTCTTGTCCGACTATTTTTTTAACTTGTCCCGGACAAGAGGACAAGCGTTAATGTCGTGCCCTGCACACACACACACACACACACACACCAAAAAACTGGGGTTAGTGGTCAAGTGGCACTCGACGCAGATGTCACAGGGTCAGATATTTTAGGGGATTTAAAGATTTCTGTGAGATTCACAATTGTGTTAAAAGGGGCATAACACAGAACTGGGATATGTTCCGGGTAGCTTGTGAAAATAATTTAGACGAATACACTGAAACGGTGACTGAGTTTATCAGGAAGTGTATAGGAGATGTTGTGCCCACTGTGACTATTTAAAATCTACCCTAACCAGAAACCGTGGATAGATGGCAGCATTCACGCAAAATTGAAAGCGCGAACCACCGCATTTAACCACGGCAAGGTGACTGGGAATATGGCAGAATACAAACAGTGTAGCTACTCACTCCGCAAGGCAACTAAACTGGTAAAACATCAGTATAGAGACAAAGTGGAGTCTCAATTCAACGGCTCAGGCACGAGACGTATGTGGCAGGGTCTACAGACAATCACGGACTACAAAAGGAAAACCAGCCACGTCACCGACACCGACGTCTCGCTTCCGGACAAGCTAAACACCTTCTTCGCCCGCTTTGAGGATAACACAGTGCCACCGACGCGGCCCACTACAAGGACTGTGGGCTCTCCTTCTCGGTGGCCGACGCGAGTAAGACATTTAAGCATGTTAACCCCCGCAAGGCTGCCAGCCCAGACGGCATCCCTAGCCGTGTCCTCAGAGCATGCGCAGACCAGCTGGCTGGTGTGTTTACGGACATATTCAATCTCTCCCTATCCCAGTCTGCTGTCCCCACATGCTTCAAGATGGCCACCATTGTTTATGTACCCAAGAAAGCAAAGGTAACTGAACTAAATGACTGTCGCCCCGTAGCACTCACCTCTGTCATCATGAAGTGCTTTGAGAGACTAGTCAAGGATCATATCACCTCTCCTACCTGTCACCCTAGACCCACTTCAATTTGCTTACCGCCCCAATAGATCCACAGACGATGCAATTGCCATCACACTGCTCACTGTGCTATCCCATCTGGACAAGAGGAATACCTATGTAAGAATGCTGTTGATTGACTATAGATCAGCATTCAACACCATAGTACCCTCCAAGCTCATCATTAAGCTTGAGGCCCTGGGTCTGAACCCTGCACTGTGCAACTGGGTCCTGGACTTCCTGACGGGCCACCCCCAGGTGGTGAAGGTAGGAAACAACATCTTCACTTCGCTGATCCTCAACACTGGGGCCCCACAAGGGTGCGTGCTCAGCCCCCTCCTGTACTCCCTGTTCACCCATGACTGCGTGGCCAAGCACGCCTCCAACACAATCATCAAGTTTGCAGACGACACAACAGTAGAAGGCTTGATTATCAACAATGACGAGACAGCCTACAGGGAGGAGGTGAGGGCTCTGGGAGTGTGGTGCCAGGAAAATAACCTCTCACTCAATGTCAACAAAATAAAGGAGATGATCGTGGACTTAAGGAAACAGCAGAGGGTGCCTCCCCCTATCCACATCGACGGGACCGCAGTGGAGAAGGTGGAAAGCTTCAAGTTCCTTGGCGTACACATCACTGACAAACTGAAATGGTCCACCCACGCAGACAGTGTGGTGAAGAAGGTGCAACAGAGCCTCTTCAACCTCAGGAGGCTGAAGAAATTTGGCTTGGCACCTAAAACCCTCACAAACTTTTACAGATGCACAATTGAGAGCATCCTGTTGGGCTGTATCACCGCCTGGGACGGCAACTGCACCGCCCGCAACCGCATGGCTCTCCAGAGGGTGGTGCGATCTGCCGAACGCATTACCGGGGGCAAACTAACCGCCCTTGAGGACACCAAGAGCACCCGATGTCACAGGAAGGCCAAAAAGATCATCAAGGACATCAACCACCCCAGCCTGTTCACCCCGCTATCATCCAGAAGGCGAGGTCAGTACAAGTGCATCAAAGCTGGGACCGAGAGAATGAAAACAGCTTCTATCTCAAGGCCATCATACTGTTAAATAGCCATCACTAGCACATTGGAGGCTGCTGCTGCCTATTGAAATCACTGGCCGCTTTAAGAAATGGATAATGTTTACATATCTTGCATTACTCATCCTATATGTATATACTGTATTCTATAATATAATAAGAGGTAGTCACCTGGAATGGATTTCAATTAACAGGTGTGCCTTCTTAAAAGTTAATATGTGGAATTTATTTCCTTCTTAATGTATTTGAGCCAATCAGTTATGTTGTGACGGGGGGGATAGCCCTATTTGGTAAAATACCAAGTCCATATTAAGGCAAGAACAGCTCAAATAAGCAACGAGAAACAACAGTTCATCATTACTTTAAGACATAATGGTCAGTCAATACGGAAAATGTCAAGAACTTTGAAAGTTTCTTCAAGTTCAGTCGCAAAAACCATCAAGTGCTATGATGAAACTGGCTCTCACGAGGACAACCACAGGAATGGAAGACCCAGAGTTACCTCTGCTGCAGAGGATAAGTTCATTAGAGTTACCAGCCTCAGAAATTGCAGCCTAAATAAATGCTTCACAGAGTTCAAGTCACAGACACATCTCAACATCAACTGTTCAGAGGGGACTGTGTGAATCAGGCCTTCATGGTCGAATTGCTGCAAAGAAACCACGACTAAAGGACACCAAAACAAAGAAGAGACCTGCTTGGGCCAAGAAACACGAGCAATGGACATTATACCGGTAGAAATGTGTCCTTTTGGTCTGGAGTACAAATTTGATATTTTTGGTTCCAACCGCCGTGTCTTTGTGAGATGTGGTGTGGGTGAACGGATGATCTCTGCATGTGGTGTTCCCACCGTAAAGCATGGAGGAGGAGGTGTTATGGTGTGGGGGTGCTTTGCTGGTGACACTGTCTGTGATTTATTTAGAATTCAAGGCACACGTAACCAGCATGGCTACCACAAAGGGTGGCTATTTGAAGAATCTCAAATATAACATATATTTTGATTTGTTTAACACTTTTGGTTACTACATGATTCCATATGTGTTATTTTATAGTTTTGATGTCTTCACTATTATTCTACAACGCAGAAAATAGTAAAAAATAAAGAGAAACCCTTGAATGAGTAGGTGTTCTAAAATAATTGACCGGTAGTGTATTCTTAATTCCATTCCTTACTTAGATTTGTGTGTATTGGGTATATGTTGTGAAATTGTTAGCTATTACTTGTTAGATATTACTGCACTGTCGGAGCTAGAAGCACAAGCATTTCACTACACCCGCAATAACATCTGCTAAACACGTGTATGTGACAAATAAATATGATTTGATTTGATTTGAGCTCTCTGTCACTCACTAGTCTTCGACAGCCAAGCATACCTCCTAAACACACCTACAGTCTACTTCACTAACACACCACATAGTCAATCCTTTGTATCCCTGGAGGCTCAGTTCCTGTGGCTGATGAGGGGGTAGCCATTTGATTAGCTGTTCAGGAGTCTTATGGCTTGGGGGTAGAAGCTGTTGAGAAGCCCTTTGGACCTAGACTTGGCGCTCCGGTACCGCTTGCCATGCGGTAGCAGAGAGAACAGTCTATGACTAGGATGGCTGGAGTTTTGACATTTTTAGGGCCTTCCTCTGTCATCGCCTGGTATAGAGGTCCTGGATGGCAGGAAGCTTGGCCCCAGTGATGTACTGGGCAGTATGCACTACCCTCTGTAGTGCCTTGCGGTCGGAGGCAGAGCAGTTGCCATACCAGGCAGTGATGCAACCTGTCAGGATGCTCTCGATGGTGCAGCTGTAAAACTTTTTGAGAATCTGATGACCCATGCCACATTTTTTCAGTCTCCTGAGTGTAAATAGGCTTTGTCGTGCCCTCTTCACGACTGTCTTGGTGTGTTTGGACCCATTTTCAATGCCCTGGCTGAGGGAAGGAGGTTCTCACCCAAGATTTGGCTGTACATGGCCCCGTCCATCGTCCTTTTGATGCGGTGAAGTTGTCCTGTCCCCTTAGCAGAAAAACACCCCCAGAGCATAATGTTTACACCTCCATGTTTGACGGTGGGGATGGTGTTCTTGGGGTCATAGGCAGCATTCCTCCTCCTCCAAACATGGCGAGTTGAGTTGATGCCAAAGAGCTCGATTTTGGTCTCATCTGACCACAACACTTTCACCCAGTTCTCCTCTGAATCATTCAGATGTTCATTGGCAAACTTCAGACGGGCCTGTATATGTGCTTTCTTGAGCAGGGGGACTTTGCGGGCGCTGCAGGATTTCAGTCCTTCACGGCGTAGTGTGTTACCAATTGTTTTCTTGGTGACTATGGTCCCAGCTGCCTTGAGATCATTGACAAGATCCTCCCGTGTAGTTCTGGGCTGATTCCTCACCGTTCTCATGATCATTGCAACTCCACGAAGTGAGATCTTGCATGGAGCCCCAATGCCGAGGGAGATTGACAGTTATTTTGTTTTTTTTGTTCTTCCATTTGTGAATAATCGCACCAACTGTTGTCACCTTCTCACCAAGCTGCTTGTCGATGGTCTTGTAGCCCATTCCAGCCTTGTGTAGGTCTACAATCTTGTCCCTGACATCCTTGGAGAGCTCTTTGGTCTTGGCCATGGTGGAGAGTTTGGAATCTGATTGATTGATTGCTTCTGTGGACAGGTGTCTTTTATACAGGTAACAAGCTGAGATTAGGAGCACTCCCTTTAAGTTATTTTTTTCATTTCACTTCACCAATTTGGACTATTGTGTGTATGTCCATTACATGAAATCCTAATAAAAATCTATTTAAATTACAGGTTGTAATGAACAAAATAGGAAAAACGCCAAGGGGGATGAATACTTTTGCAAGGCACTGTATGGGACACTGCTTAATCAGTTTACAAAGGAATTTTAATTTCATGACTACTTGAATTCCTGTAGAATCTGGAGAATTCCAATCACAGCTGTTGTGTGTTATTGAGTCAGTGTCTCCACCATCAGACTGTGACCAATCCTTTGTCCAGACTAGAGCACCAGTTTCACCAGCAGCCCCCCCTGGCTGTGACCTACCCAAACCCCCACCACCCTGAGGTCATGACCCTGCCCCGGGCTCCTCACACTTCCCAGTCCCTGCCTCCCTCCCTCTGTCTCCTTTCCCTCCCCATGGACACTGTGTGTGTCCAGAGTCCAGACCCAATAATCCACAATTACACCCACTGCTAAGTGCACAGTAACTAAGACCCTGAGAGGACTTTTCCTTTTCATTGGTGAAAGCTCAGACATCCTGGCCTCCTCGTTGGGAATTTGTGTCAAACAAACAAGCAGCAATCTGGCTGTGTGCTGCCCGGCTGGGGAATGGGCTGTGGTGGGATTTGCAGGTAGCAACAAAAACACAATTTAAGACTTAGGTTAGGCTGATTGCAGAGCGGAAACATGTAAACAATGTGGGAGGTTCGGAATTGGGCGGATGTAATCTCAGAGAAAGGGTGAGAAGTTAAGGTGCAGGTAAAGCAACAGACAATCACAGAAAGAAATCATTTGAAGAGAAGGAGCCAAAAAGGTAGAGGGAGGAAGAGCGAGGCAGAGAGCAAGGCAGGAGGAAGACCACAGTGAGATGAAGTGGACAATGCTTTAATTGATATTGGCAGGTAGTAAATGCATTTTGTGTGTGTGTGGGGGGACTGGGCTAGGTTAAATAATCTCCAGACAGAATCTCCTCCTGTCCTGTCCTCGGCATGTGCTTTGTGACAGTGGCAGTCCCTGTCACTATATACCTGGCTGGCTGAGCCGGGGCCTGTGTTTGTGGCTCTTTACTTTGCATTAAAACAACATGATCCATGAGGCGCAGAGGGTGACTCCCAGCACTGCTGATTCTAATTAATCCACTACCTGCCTCGGCCACGCCGGGCTAAAGAGCTTGCAGTCTATCAGATTGAAATTCATAATTTAATTGAGTTCAAAGCCTCGAGCCGAGAGAACAAAAGTCTCTGGCTGGGACCAGGTAGATCAATAGTAATAAATGTCTGTCTGGGCTACAACTAGTTAATGGCCACGCATTATGTGGGACAGACAGACAGACAGAGGCATCACAGGGCAGAGGGGCAGGAGGGGACCGAGGAAGAGGGTGGGACTCCATGTTGGTGTCCTGTCTCTTAGAGGGAGGTTCTGTCCACTGTTGGCTGCAACTGCCTGGGAGAGACTATATGGAACTAGTTTAGGTAGTTGTTACTGTGAAATATAGATATTCACATTAGACTACTCTACTACCACTCTCTATTTGATTTTGTATTGACTGCTGAGTGGCGGGTCAGCGTGTGTGTGTTTGATTTGTGATACCATAAGTATATATATTTTTTCTGGACGACCTCTTAGAAAATAAACACATTGATTTGATATTGATGTGAGGAGAAATGAAATCTTTGCTAAGTGCTTAAGTGCCCCCCTGGCCTGGGTGTTTAGTGTCAATGTGGTGGATTGTTTCTAGGGCTAAATAGGGACCAAGGCAGTTTGTTGGGTTGTGTGAAGACAAGGAAAAACATTCTCAGACAATATCGGGACACAGACACATGTTATGCTATAGCTGTTGTGTGTGTCAGAATCACACTAGAGATGCAGTGTTATCTATAGTGCCTTCAGAAAGTATTCACACCCCTTGACTTATTCCATATTTTGTTGTGTTGCAGCCTGAATTAAAAATGGATTAAATATATTTTTTTCTCACCCATTTATACACAATACCCCATAATGACAAAGTGAAAATGAAATACAGAAATATCTCATTCACACCCCTGACTCAATACATGTTAGAGTCACCTTTGGCAGTGATTAGAGCTTTGAGTCTTTCTGGGTAAGTCTCTAAGAGTTTGTACATCTGGATTGTACAATATTTTCACATTATTCTTTTAAAAATTCTTTAAGCTCTGTCAAGTTGGTTGTTGATCATTGCTAGACAGCCATTTTCAAGTCTTGCCATAGATTTTCAGGCCGAATTAAGTCAAAACTGTAACTAGGCCACACAGGAACAGTCAATGTCATCTTGGTAAGCAACTTCAGTGTATACTGAGTGTACAAAACATTACAAACACCTGCTCTTTCCATAACATAGACTGACCAGGTGAATCTAGGTGAAAGGTATGATCCCTTATTGATGTCACTTGTTAAATCCACTTCAATCAGTGTAGCTGAAGGGGAGGAGACAGGTTAAAGGCAATTGAGACATGGGTTGTGTATGTGTGCCGTTCAGAGGGTGAATGGGCAAGACAAAAGATTTAAGTGCCTTTTGAACGGCATATGATAGTAAGTGCCAGGCGCACCGGTTTGAGTGTGTCGTAAACTGCAACACTGCTGGGTTTGTCACGCTCAACCGTTTCCCGTGTGTATCAAGACATCCAGCCAACTTGACACAACTGTGGGAATCATTGGAGTCAACATGGGCCAGCATCCATGTGGAACGCTTTCGACACCTTGTGGAGTCCATGCCCCGATGAATTGGGGCTGTTCTGAGAGCAACTCAATATTAGGAAAGTGTTCCTAATGTTTTGTACACTCAGTGTATATTTGGCCTTGTGTTTTTTGGTTTTTTGTAACGTCTGAGATCCCCAGAGATTGGAAAGCTGCCGCGGTCATCCCCCTCTTCAAAGGGTCGAAACTGTTACAGACCTATATCCATCCTGCCCTGCCTTTCGAAAGTTTTTGAAAGCCAAGTTAACAAACAGATCACCGACCATTTTGAATCCCACCGTACCTTTTCCGCTATGCAATCCGGTTTCCGAGCTGGTCATGGGTGCACCTCAGCCACGCTCAAGGTCCTAAACGATATTATAACCGCGATCGATAATAGACAGTACTGTGCAGCCGTCTTCATCGACCTGGCCAAGGCTTTCGCCTCTGTCAACCACCGCATTCTTATTGGCAGACTAAACAGCCTTGGTTTCTCAAATGACTGCCTCGCCTGGTTCACCAACTACTTCTCAGATAGAGTTCAATGTGTCAAATCGGAGGGCCTGTTGTCTGGACCTATGGCAGTCTCTATGGGGGTGCCACAGGGTTCAAATCTTGGGCCGACTCTTTTCTCTGTGTATATCAATGATGTCACTCTTGCTGCTGGTGACTCTCAGATCCACCTCTACGCAGACGACACCATTTTGTATACATCTGGCCCATCATTGGACACTGTGTTAACAAACCTCCAAACGAGCTTCAATGCCATACAACACTCCTTCCGTAGCCTCCAACTGCTCTTAAACACTAGTAAAACTAAATGCATGCTCTTCAATCGAACGCTGCTGGCAACCGCCCACCCGAGTAGAATCACTACTCTCGACTGGTCTGACCTAGAGTATGTGGACAACTACAAATACCTAAGTGTCTGGTTAGACTGTAAACTCTCCTTCCAGACTCACGTTAAGCATCTCCAATCCAAAGTTAAATCTAGAAAAGGCTTCCTATTTCGCAACAAAGCCTCCTTCACTCATGCTGCCAAACATGCCCTCGTAAAACTGACTATCCTACCGATCCTTGACTTCGGCAATGTCATTTATAAAATAGCCTCCAACACTCTACTCAGCAAATTGGATGTAGTCTATCACAGTGCCATCCGTTTTGTCACCAAAGCCCCATATACTACCCACCACTGTGACCTGTACGCTCTTGTTGGCTCGTCCTCACTACATATTCGTCGCCAAACCCACTGGCTCCAGGCCATCTATAAATCACTGCTAGGCAAATCCCCGCCTTACCTTAGCTCATTGGTCACCATAGCAACACCCTCCCGTAGTATGCGCTCCAGCAGGTATATCTCACTGGTCATCCCCAAAGCCAACACCTCCTGTGGCCGCCATACCTTCCAGTTCTCTGCTGCCAATGACTGGAACGAACTGCAAAAATCTCCGAAGCTGGAGACTCTTATCTCCCTCACTAACTTTAAGCATCAGTTGTCAGATCACCTTATCGATCACTGCACCTGTACACAGCCCATCTGAAATTAGCCCACCCAACTACCTCATCCCCATATTGTTATTTATCTTTGCTCATTTAAACCCCAGTATCTCTATTTGCATCTATCATTCCAGTGTTAATACTAATTGTAATTATTTTGCACTATGGCCTATTTATTGCCTTACCTCCATAACTTGCTACATTTGCACACACTGTATATATATTTTCTGTTGTATTTTTTACTTTGTTTTGTTTTACCCCATATGTAACTCTGTGTTGTTTTTATCGCACTGCTTTGCTTTATCTTGGCCAGGTCGCAGTTGTAAATGAGAACTTGTTCTCAACTGGCTTAACTGGTTAAATAAAGGTTGAATAAATAAAAAAAACAATAAAAATAGGTTATTGTCCTGCTGACAGTTAAATATCAAATCAAATTGTATTGGCCACATGCGCCGAATACAACAGGTGCAGACATTACAGTGAAATGCTTACTTACAGCCCTTAACCAACAGTGCATTTATTTTTAATAAAAAAGTAAAATAAAACAACAACAAGAAAGTGTTGAGAAAAAAAGAGCAGAAGTAAAATAAAATAACAGTAGGGAGGCTATATATACAGGGGGGTACCGGTGCAGAGTCAATGTGCGGGGGCACCGGCTAGTTGAGGTAGTTGAAGTAATATGTACATGTGGGTAGAGTTAAAGTGACTATGCATAAATAATTAACAGAGTAGCAGCAGCGTAAAAAGATGGGGTGGGGGGGCAGTGCAAATAGTCTGGGTAGCCATGATTAGCTGTTCAGGAGTCTTATGGCTTGGGGGTAGAAGCTGTTGAGAAGTCTTTTGGACCTAGTCTTGGCACTCCGGTACCGCTTGCCGTGCGGTAGCAGAGAGAACAGTCTATGACTAGGGTGGCTGGAGTCTTTGACAATTTTGAGGACCTTCCTCTGACACCGCCTGGTATAGAGGTCCTCGATGGCAGGAAGCTTGGCCCCTGTGATGTACTGGGCCGTAGGCACTACCCTCTGTAGTGCCTTGCGGTCGGAGGCCGAACAGTTGCCATACCAGGCGGTGATGCAACCAGTCAGGATGCTCTCGATGGCGCAGCTGTAGAATTTTTTGAGGATCTGAGGACCCATGCCAAATCTTTTCAGTCTCCTGAGGGGGAATAGGCTTTGCCGTGCCCTCTTCATGACTGTCTTGGTGTGTTTGGACCATGATAGTTCGTTGGTTATGTGGACACCAAGGAACTTGAAGCTCTCAACCTGTTCCACTACAGCCCGTCGATG